AAAAATAGAATCCGCAAAATATTATAATTATTAAAATCCATCAAACCCAAACTCCAAAACTCCATCAATTTACAACTCGGGAATCCATCTCCAATGGACCCCTATTAAACATCCAAACGGAAAATAAAGCAACTGTAATAAGCATCTAGAAATAAACTATGGAGAGAATCCTACATCGTCTGAAGAGTGAATAGAGACCTCTGCTCAGCACGAACACGTCTAAGCCTGGAACTGTCGTGTACCTGAAAAATAGAAGTGGGTCAGACCCACGCGCAAGTTCTATACTATTACAATCCAAATAGAGGCCCGATACGCATGTACATCCTAAACAATTCAACAATAGCTAATAGTCCGTAAATATATATATAGTCACACTAAAGGACTCTCACTAGACTACAGGCCGGTCTCAACCTGAATAGAGGTAACATGCTAAAACGCACACGAAGTGGGCATATGTACCTATACCTAAACGGGGTACACCTCTAACCATTGTATCCAGCTATGCATCCCAATGCATATGCGTTTCTTAACTGTCGATCCTGAGACTCAAGCTCATATCGAGGTACCATAACAATATATTTAAAGTCCATCCCGAATCCTAGTAGTGCCGCTTAACTAGTCGTTGCCATGACACTACAATTAATAGGACTTAACCTTTAGTTAATCCAATTCTTAATCCAGAGTAGGTAGGTTTTGGTATTTTGAAACCAAACCATCCCTAGCATACCACCGTCCCATACCGGTGTATACTATCCAATCATCCAGCAGTTGATAACATCAACAATTAAAGTAAACATAAGCTAAATCCATATTTCCATTACTGATATTAACATGCATAGTGTAAGCATCAATAAAAAGAATCAGATATAACATAAACAGATTCAGTTTTATATCCAACACTGATACTAACAGACATAATGTAAGTATCAAGAATTATAGTTACTGTATAAACACAAACTTACTCAGTTTAGGTTGTTTCATTCAATTAGATATAATGATAAAATTATTTTAAATTATCATTCAATACTCAGCAGTTGATATTACAGACATTTAAGATAACTATTAACAAAGTCCATTCCTCCAACAGTTGATACTAATACTACTAATGTAAGCATCAAGATAGAACCACAGTAGGTACATATACCTACTTAGTTTAGGTTGTTTTACAAAATCCCATTAATGTTAATTTAAGAATTATTATTCTTCAACATTACCATATTCTAAACAAGTGTAATTCAGATACATACTCATGATATAGAATTATACATGTTCCAATTATATCATTCGTCTCAAAAGATTTCAGAATTAAACACAGTGTACTCACATAATTTAACACTATGGAACTACTTGTTTTAAACCCTACTATCCAGACTTTTCTACCCAAGTAACCTTAGTTAACACAACCTCTGAAGCTTTAATTTATCTCTATGCATTACTTAGACCTTCCATATTCCATTCTGCAGTCAATTGAAAATTCCAAAATCAACCATTGCATGCAAAACTGACTGGAAACGAAGAAAACCACAAAAACTGAGCAAGGAGACGTCTCCAAAAATTGGAGCCGCCTCCACACTAAGGGGAGCCGGCTCCCTCCCTCTCTGCTTCGTCGTTCCTTCCTCCGATGAACTCTGCAGCCTCTACACCTCACTGTTATGGCTTCCAAATCCTGTAACCTAACCCTAGTGTGTTCCCAGTCCATGTTTAAGTCCTTATACCATTATTAATCATGAACTTAAATCAAGAATTATGCACACAACTATCAAGTTTTAACAGTTTAACAACTATGCAACACGTACTGGTGTGTATCAAACTTTAGCACGAACAGAGAAACTTTTTAAGTTACAATTAATTCTGGAACAGTTTAGGAATGCAAAGAACACGAAACCTAAGGGAGAGAGTAAGGATAGAACTTGCCTTTGAGATCTTTGTTCAAAATCTCTACGCCGTCTTCTAAGACCTCCGGCGAACACAATTGTTGTAAACCTCATCTGTTTCTCTCTCTGCTACTTCCACAGACGTGTGCTAGTTTTTCCTTTCTTTGTGTTTTTTTTTTTAATCGTTTGTATGTAAAACCCTAGGTAGCCTTATTATGTCTATTTATAAGGTTACACAAAACCTAAAGCTCACTGAAGCCCTAATGTGAAACCTATTCGGCCAATAACACCATCTAAATGAATAAGCATGTCTGTTACTTACCACCAATCCTACAGTAACGTAAATTTAGAAAAACAAGTAACTTTAATTTATTTTAATTACCAATTAACCAAAAAACTAAATAAAACAATTAACAAAGAATTAAAGAATACAATTAAGCAAATAAAATTAAACTAAGTAAAACAATTAAATAATTAAAGTCAATAAATAGATCAACCAAACAACTAATTACAATTAAACACACCAAATAAGTAAACAAAGGCAAGAAATCAATTAAACAACCAGAAAAACCAATTAAACAAATAAAAATCCAATAAAATAATAAACAAAACTACCGAGACTATCCTTTTAAAAATTAGGGGTATTATACCATGAGACCTTATAGGATAAAATAGATAAGAAGGATTTGCTTCCCCCATAACTGAAAAGGCCTATAGGTAGACCTAGAGTGGCAAGGAAAAGGGAAGCTGATGAACCACAGGCTAGTAAGAGGTCAACTATTATTCATTGTAGCATATGCAAGGATACTGGGCACAATAAAAGGGGTTGTCATAGGGCTCCAATTCAAAGCAAAGGAAAACAAGGATCAAGGAAAGGAACACATGGGTCAAGATCAACTTCAGCAGCAAATAAAGGAAGGAGAGGTCAAGGAGTAAGGACAAGGAGTAAAGCTGTTGCAGCACAAGTAAACCTTGGTTATTTTAAATTTCCCTCTAAATGTGTTGGTTTTTATTTTTATTTTTTAATTGTACATTTGGAATTGCAGGTCAGTGGTTATTCATAACCCACTCAATCTAATGTAGTTGCAGGAACAACAACACAAGCCAATCAGTTCAATGTAAGCATTACTCTTGGTTATTTTAAATTTTCCTCTAAATGTGTTGGTATTTTTTTTTTTTTTTTTTAATTGTACATTTGGAATTTTTTTTATTTTTTAATTGCACATTTGGAATTGCAGGTCAGTGGTTCTTCACAACCCACTCAATCTAATGTAGTTGAAGGAACAACAACACAAGTCAGTCAGTCCAATGTAAGCATTACTATTGGTTATTTTAAATTTTCCTCTAAATGTGTTAGTATTTTATTTTTTATTTTTTTAATTGTACATTTGGAATTGCAGGTCAATGGTTATGCACAACCCACTCAATCTAGTGTAGTTGCAGGAACAACAACACAGGCCACTCAGTCCAATGTAAGCATTACTCTTTTCATATTCTTTTGTTTGCAAGTTATTTCTAATCTCCTTGCTGGGACCGTTGGACCTAAACAACATATATAATCACACAGCTTGCTGGTGATATCCAATTTTTATATGTTATATGATATCTATAATTTAATACATAAAATGGATCTGTGGCTATCCGACCTACCAAACAAAAACACAGGTCTAACAGACATGCTTTGCTTGCATATATTTATTAGTGCCTAGTTTGTTGACCCAATAAATTTATGTATCAGACATTTAAATCCAAAGAACCTCATATTAATCAATTGGAAATCAGGACACTAATGTGATTATATATGCAAATATTCTTTTTTGCAGGTGAGAAATTATGCAGTGTCAAGTATAGCAGCAGCTACACCCAATCTAGTGGACCATCAGCAATTGACTGGCAATTTGGGATTTAGGTAACATGCTTTTCTGTTTTTTGGGACACTTGCTAGGACAAGTATTTTTATAATGCCACTTATGACATAAATAACACAGTTGAGTTATTTGGTTTTCTGTTTTTGGGACACTTGCTGGGACAAGTATTTTTGTAATGGCACATATGACATGGACAACACAGTTGGGTTATTTGGTTTTTAGTTTTTGGCACAAGTAGTTTTGTAATGCCACATATGACATGGATAACACAGTTGGGTTATTTAGTTTTCTTTTTTTGGGACACTTGCTGGGGCAAGTATTTATGTAATGCTACATATGACATAGACATAACAGTTGGGTTATTTTTTGTTAGTTGGTTGACACTTGATTGTTGGATGGTTGGTTGACACTTGAATGTTGGTTATGTAATGACAGATTATGTAAATTTTGGTGTCTTGGTTATGTAATGACTTGGTACAAGTTTATTATGGATTGTGGGTTGTGTATGACTCTACTTTTATGAAGTTAAATGTTGGTTATGTAATATGACTATAATGACAAGTTATGTAATTTTTGGTGCAATGTATTATTCTCTAATTTATTAATCTGTTTCAGGATGTCTATATATATATATATATATAGTCTATACTCTTCATCTGTTTCAGGGGTCAATGTTGGTACGCCTCAATTTTATTCTCCAATTTATTAACTTGTTTCTCAATTTGTTAATCTGTTTTATGGAGATATAGATATATATATATATATATATATATATATATATATATATATATATATCATCTTTCCTAGAAGGGTAGTTTAGTCTAATTTTTTAACTTGTAAAGTTAAAAAGGTCAAATAAAATGTCAAAGGCCAATTTGGTCAATTTTTCATGCTAGTTGGTTTCAAGGGGTGTCTTTGTCTATTTTTCAATTTTTAAGGGGTGTCATTATCCAAAAAACAGGTAACTTTCACTTGAGTGTCCTTATGTCAAACCTCAGGAGGTGTTAGTGTATTTTACCCTAAAATATATATACACAGTGGTCAAAGGTATATACACACACAATCGGGTTCGGCTTAGGGTTTGAGATTGATTTCGGTTAGGGTTTAATCTAAGGGCATTTAAATCAATTAAAATGCTAAATTTATTTAAAAAGGTAATAAGGTCAATTCACCATCTTTAGGTCTCTTTGTCTATTTTTTAAACTTGAAAGGTGTCATTGTCTAAAAATAGACGAACTTTGGTCTACATGGCCTTACGGGAGGTGTCTGTGTAACAAAAAAAAAAAAAAAAAGAAAAAAAAAAAAAGAAGGTAAAGTTAAATACTATAAGGTTAGGCTTTAGGTAAAGTAAAAATACGAAGAGGAAGATCTGAAGCAGCAGTTTGCCGGCGTTACCATTGTCGGCGGTCATCTCAGAGTTGTACAAAATCAAACTGTTGGAATCTCCAAATAAAACTCAAATTCGTCGATTTCGTTTGAAGAAGTGCATAAAATCGTAGCATATAGCTTTCAACGACGAAGCGGCGGCACCGGATTGATCGGCTCGGCTGCAACGCTGTAGTTGATGCCTCGACGTGCTTGATCCTAGAAGGTGAGAGCTTTTGGATTTTTGAGAGTATGGAGGGAAGGAGAGTGGTCGTCTCAATTCTGCAATTCACTTGCACCGATGATGTCCCCTCTAACGTGGGTAAAACCGAAAGCTCCTCTTCCTTTTACTTCTTTTTTTCCATTTTTATGTCTGTTTATTTATTAGTAATTCATACCTATTATCATTCAACCAGAAAAAGAAAAGAAAGAAAAAGCACAAGTAAGAGTGTAAGACACCAATTTCTTTACGGGTCATTTTCAATTATATTTGGAGGGATGCTAACCAAAGAATAACTTTTCTATTCCTCCTCCATCTAATTTAATCTACTTTATATGGTTTTAGTCGTGAAGACAATTTTTTTTTAAAATTTTTTTTAAAGACTTTGGTAAAGAAAAAGTAAAAGAGAAAAATTATAAAGCTAAAGAAATTAAGCCCATTTTTTTCTTTTAGACTTTGGTAAAGAATAAGCAGAAGAGAAAAATTACAACGTTAAACAAATTAAAGCTTTTTTTTTTTCGGTTCTGACAAAACAAAAGAAATTAAAGCACTGAGCAAGGGCCTTGTTGGAGCATCCGGCAAATGTATGACGCAGTTTCTTACAGTCTACACCGGGCTCTGATGATCAATATACATGCATTCATATATATATATATATATATATATATATATATATATATATATATATATATTTGTGTTTGTGCATTATAACAAAGAAAAAATTATGTACTTCCTATCTAGTCCTGACATTTGATCATGACATGGGTTAGACATTTGATCATGACATGGGTCAATAGGAGAATTGCGTGATTAGATCAAATCACAAGTAATATAAGGCATTTTTTTTTTTTTTTTTTTTATAATAAGTAAAAGAGAATTCTACTTTGTAAAAGAAAAAGGTGAAACTATTACTATCATTCACTTTATAAGATTTCTAGATTATCTTGAATTTAGGTGTGACAGGTCGCATCTTAAACATCAATCTAGGTTTCACAGCTAAACAATTCCATTTTCATGGGACATTTTGTGAAAACTTTTGTCAAAGTACACACTGTTTTTTGTCCATAAAGTTTGATTTGGTGGAATTCTTTACCATATATGTTAGACTTTTGCCCTTTGTCAATTCCCATTTCCTTAGAATAATGTAGTAAATTTAATATTCCTGTACAACATCTCCAAGTACAATATACTATATAATATATAAAACCCCTATCTTACTTAGCTATTTAGTAAAATTATCTATATAAATATATTCAGTATCCATGGAAGAAGAGTGATGGAGTTGGCAGAAGAAGAATTGGGTTCTGGAGCGAGGATGGTAATACCATCTGTGGAAGTGGAGAGGATACAGAAAAACTTGTTCAAAAGATTGATGAAAGGTGATTGGATAGAAGTGGTGAATTTGTTCAAGAAACACCCAGAGGTTCACAAGGCCAAGATCACTGCATCAGGGGACACTGCATTGCACATAGCCGTCTCGAATAGGCAAGAAGTTATTGTTGAACAGCTGCTAGTGGAACTGAGTTCCAACGAGGCTCTCAAAGTGAAAAATGAGAGAGGGAATATCCCTCTCTCGTTATGCAGCGTCATTGGGGCTTGTACGGACCTGCCATTTCATTGCAAGTAACGACTCTGCACTAATCGGTGCTGACAACAATGACACTGAGATTCCTTTCTTCTTGGCCGCTCTCCATGGCAAGAAAGGCGCTTTTCTTTGTCTCCATTCTATCTGTGTTATCGATCAAGGCTATTTATATTGTAGAAGGAATATTGATGGTGAAACCGTTCTTCACTCTGCAATAAGTGGAGACTATTTTGGTGAGCTATATTACTAGCTTTCATTTAAATTAATTAATTCTCATTTACACATGCAGTACTTAATGGAGTAATGCTATTATTATTATTTATTTATTTTACCATGGAAAGAAACACTCTTGTACACACACACTCACTTGTTCATGTGGGGACTTGAATCATCACCTTCTATTTTAAAAGGTAAAGAAGGACTACTAGGCTACAGTCACTTGGATTGCAACATGTATTAAAATGGTTCATTTGATTTTCTTAGGAAAGCTTGTTGCTCTTGTTATGAGAGAGCTGTTTTGATAGCATTAACCTACTTAATATTAATCAGTGGAGACTATATAGACTATATGTATATATACATGTGTTTTGATTGACAATTAATTAATATTTGAATTTATCAATAAACTATGTACAGATTTGGCATTTGAAATAATTCAGAAATACGAAAAGCTTGTGAACTATGTGAATGAACGAGGATTTTCCCCTCCTTCTTCTTGCAAGCAAGCCTAGGTCCTTCAGGAGTACTGGGAGGAGTAATCTTGGAAGTTTGAACTGGATCATTTATGATTGTAAGTCTTAATTAATTAGTTGTCTCATCACTTTTCCATATATTTAATCAGCTCTATCATATATATTATATATATATTTGGATGCAGCATATACAGAAAACAGCCTTTAATTTATTAACATTATATATTTATTTCCACTGTTATTTGCAAATTAAGGTACATTTATTGATGAGCTCATGGTGGAAACTATCTATGACCAACTTGATCTATTGAAGTCGTCTGAAGACGGAAAGAATCCAACCTATCCAGAAAACTACGATACGTGCATCAAATTCTTTCGACTGCTGTTGAATATATATCATGTACTCGGTTTGTATTAGCGAACCTTTTTATTATTATTATTTATATTTCCCTTTTGCAGTCACATATTCTTGACATAATATTGCTATATGTGTGCCAGGTAATTATAGGTCCTGAAAATTGACACTTCTCCATTTGTATATTTTCAGTGTTAATTGGTAGTGCAGGGGTTATCTTTAGGTTCAAGCATTGTGTTTACTTACCAAAAATAAGGCATAGAAAAAAGAAAAAAAATTCTGATAATTTTTTCTTATGTGAGTGCTGAAACTGAGCAGTTTTATTTATTTATTTATTTTTTTCAGTTCTTGCTGGAAAAGGTAAACAAAAGAAAGATGAGGAAACAGATGCCAACGGAGAAAAAAATTTGGATTTACAAGATGAGCTTTTTAAAATTAGAACGGAACATAGACATTTCTTTTTCTTTTTTGGAATGATTAATAGAAATAGAATAATAACTTTTGTTTCCTTCAATCTTCTTTAATTTACTTTATATCGTTTTATTCATGAAGACAAAATTTCTTTTAGAGGTAAAGAAAAAGTAAAAGAGAAAACTTACAAAGCTAAAGAAAGGCTTGAGCAGGGGCCTTGTTGCAGCATCCAGCCAAAAACATGATGCAGTCTCTCCACTGTCCAAAAAATTATGTAACACTTTGTCCCATCTAGTCCTTACAATTGATGACATGGGTGAACATGAGAACCAATGCTTGGATTAGATCAAATCACAAGTAAAGTATCTAATTGCCATCATCATGTCATAACAAGTGTGTGTAATTAAACTAAAAAAACAAATCTCAGTGTGATATAAGTTTTTTTTTTTTTTTTTTTTTTTTTTTTTTTTTTTTTCAAGAAGTAGAATTTTACTTTGTAAAATAGAATGATAGGTTAGCTTGAATTTAGGTGTAACAGGCTGAATCTTAAATGACAATCTAGTGTTTCACAGCTAGGCAATTCCATGTTCATTCAATTATCATTGTACATTTTGTGCAAGCTTTTGTTCATTTGCACATAGTGTAATTAATTGTCCATAAAGTTTGATTTGGTGGAATTCTTTACCATGTATTGCAAATTATATTAATTACAAGACTTTTGCCATTTCTCAATTCCCATTTTCTTGGAATATAAGTGGTAAATTAATATTCCTATACAGCATCTCTCCAAGTGCAATATATATATATATATATATTTAACCCCTATCCCTAGCTAGTTCTATATATTAACACTACTCAATTTACTTTATATTGTTTTATTCATGAAGACAATTTTTTTTCTTTTAGACTTTGGTAAAGAAAAAGTAAAAGAAAAAAATTACAAAGCTAAAGAAAGGCTTGAGCAAGGGCCTTGTTGCAGCATCCAGCAAAAGCATGATGCAGTCTCTCTACTGTGCAAAAAAATATGTACTTCACTTTGTCCCATCTAGTCCTGACAGTTGATGACATGGGTGAACATGAGAATTAGGTGACCAATGTTTGGATTAGATCAAATCACAAGTAAAGTATCTAATCCCTGTCATCACTTCACAACACTCTTGGTGGAGTACAGGACCTTCTCTGATCTTACTCTTCATGCTAAGCAATTTAATAGTATATTTTGTGCAAGCTTGTATTCATGTGTGTACTGTTAATTGTCAATAAAGGTTGATTTCGGGGATTCCTTTACCATATATTGCAAACTATATAATTAGATGATCACTTTTGCTCTGTCTCTATTCCCATCTCCTAGGAATATTTTGTTTGCTATAAATATATGTATGAGGCAGGGAGAGAAGGAAGAAGTTAAGAGTGATGGAATTACCAGGAGAAGGAATGGTTTCTGGGGCAAGGATACCACCATTACGATCTTGGGAAGATGAGGAGAAAATAAAGAAAAGCTTGTTCAATAGTGCCATGAAAGGTGATTGGGAAAAAGTGGTGAATTTGTACACGGAGCATCCAGATGTTCACAAGGTCAAGATCACTAGATCAGGGGACACTGCATTGCACATAGCCGTCTCCAATGGGGTAGAAGATGTTGTTGAACAGCTAGTGAAGCTCATGAGTTCCAATGAGGATCTGAAAGTGGAAAATGAGAGAGGGAATACCCCTCTCCATTTTGCAGCATCATTGGGAAACGTAAGGTTGTGCGAGTACATTGCAAGTAAAGACTCAGCACTAATCGGTGCTCGCAATCATGACAGTGAGACTCCTATCTTCTTGGCCGCTCTCCACGGTAGGAAAGATGCTTTTCTTCGTCTCCATTCTAAGATCAGGAGCACCGATGATGCCTACTTGTATTGTAGAAGGAATGATGGTGAAACTGTTCTTCACGTTGCAATCATTGGAGACTATTTTGGTGAGTTAAATTAGCCTTTGTATTTATTCATTCTCACATACACACCTTGTCAACTAGGGAAAAAAAAAACATACGCACCTTGTCCTCTTTTGAGTCCCCAGCCATATTATATATATATATATATATTTATATATACACTATTTGTATATGTTTTGATTGACAATTAATTTATATTTTAATTTATGAATGAGCTATATACGTACAGATTTGGCGTTTCAGATAATTCATAAATACGAAAAGCTTGTGAACTACGTGAATGAACAAGGATTAACCCCTCTCCATCTTATTGCAAGCAAGCCTACTGCCTTCAGAAGTGGGAGTCATCTTGTAAGGCTCAACTGGATCATTTATCATTGTAAGTCTTAATTAGTTGTCAGATTTGTCTTATCACTTTTCCATTTCATTAATTTATGACAATTATATATTTATTATATTATTTTCAAATTAAGGTATATTTGTTGATGAGCTCACAGTGGATACTACCCATGACCAACCTGATGATACATCGAAGCCTTCTGAAGACGGAAAGAATCCAACCCATCCAGAGAACTACGACACCTGCATCAACTTCTTTCGACTAGTGTCCAAGATAAATCGTGTACTCGGTGTGTATTGATGATTTTTTTTTTTTTTTTGGTTCTTTCTTTTTGGCGGTCACTTATTCTAGAAATGTTGCTCTATTGGTGCAGTGGTTATCTTTAGGTTCAAGCATAAAAATTTACTTATAAAAAAAAATAGCCATATAAATAAAATTGTTTCCAATAATTTTTTTCTTACATCTACGAAGTGCTGAAACTGAGCAATCTTCTTTTGTATTTTCAGTTAGTGATAGAAAAGGTTGGCATTGCTTTTTCTTTCAAAAAAAGAAAGAAGAGAATGACGAGGAAGCAGATGTTAAAGGACAAGATAATTTGAACCAACAAGGTGAGCTTTGTAAAATTAGAATCACATGAGATCATCCTCTTTAATAAAGTTTGGCTTTAAAGTTGCTGTAATTAAGGTGATTTTGGTGTTTCGACTTAGCTCTATTTAATGGCAATCATTTTAATTTCATGTTCCAAACTCTCTTTAATTTTTTATATATGTATTTTGTGGACGTACACATTGTAGAACTTTGGCATTAATTATTATATACTGAAGTTCAGTAAGTATATTATACAGGACTCCAATCAAGTAATCAAACTCATGAACATCAATTGTTTCCTATAAATTACGACACTTGCTTTGATAGCATCAAGTTCATATCAAAAGCAATGCTGATCATTCTCGGATTCGGTACGTGTAGTATCATGTTGTCATCGATGTACAATTAATTTTCATTTGGGCTAATTATGCATATAGTACATAAATTTAATTAATTGTTCAAATTACGTTATTTGTTGTGGTACCAATTAAGCTAGGTTTTAGAGAAATAAGGAAGATAGAGGAGAAAAAAGAGAAGCACACATGGTCCGTCCAAATCATGAATGAACTTCTTAGACGTGCCTCTACATATGAGTATGATGACAATGGACAGACACCCCAATACGAAGAAGGTGATGCAACGATGTTTTCTTTTGGCGGAGGCAATATTGACACAACCAGGCTACCGGATCAGCCCACAACGCCGCAGGTGGCAAATGACAAAAGTTCTTCAGAAGCTAGAGAAAGCCAAGAAGGGAAAAGTGATGAGAAGAATAGAGATGGTATATATTTACTTAATTGTTCTCCCTCTTTTGAGTATCAATTTAATTAAGCGGTGCAATAGAAGAAACATTTCCGTGTGAAAAATTGTACAGCATGCTTACATATATGATCCACTGGCACTTGCCAACTTAATTTACCACATATAATTTGCTGCAAAGGGTAAAATTATTTCAAAAATAATCTAAGTGAAAACTATATTCATTACCATATATATTAATTTAGTAGCATATATGCTGCTTCTGCCGCTGACATTGATTAATTTTGTGTTTTATATATATATATATATATATAGCTGCAGGGGAAAACGAGAATGTTAAGAAGAAGGAGACACCCATATTGGTTGCGGCAAAGAATGGCATAACGGAAATGGTGGAGAAAATACTTGAGCTCTTTCCTGTGGCCATCCACGATGTAAATACTGATAAGAAGAATATGGTTCTTCTGGCAGTGGAGAACAGACAACCACATATATACCAGCTCTTACTCGAGCTGAAAATTATGAAAGACAGCGTATTTCGGAAGGTGGACATTGAAGGCAATAGTGCATTACATCTTGCTGCAAAGCTAGGAGATCATCGCCCTTGGCGTATTCCTGGTGCTGCATTGCAAATGCAGTGGGAGATCAAGTGGTATGAGGTATGTAATTAATTATATATATATATGATCTCTGCTTTAATATTATTGGGTGTACTTTCACGTACAACTAATATGTGCATTAAAAAAATTAAAAAATCACCCAATTAAGTTCAGCTCGAATTAAAAAAGAAACACACAGATATTCTTTAATATCCATTCAAAAACAGGGTTAACGTTAAGCTTGAGATTGACTGCTCCAAGTTTATTTTTATTTGATCTACTTATAATAATAAATCAAACGCATGCATGCAGTTCGTCAAAGAGTCCATGCCAATGCATTTCTTTGTACGCCACAACCAGGCGTCAGAGACTGCGAGGGAAGTCTTCACAAAATCACATAGTAAGCTCCTCAAAGAAGGGGGCAAATGGCTCACCAGCACCTCTAAGTCGTGTTCCGTTGTAGCAGCACTCATTGCCACAGTGGCCTTTGCCACCTCAACCACTGTGCCAGGCGGTGTCATGAAAGGCAAAGGAACACCAACACTGGAACGCGAGACTCCATTTAGCATTTTCGCCATTTCCTCGCTAATCGCACTCTGCTTCTCTGTCACCTCCATGATCATGTTCCTTGCCATTCTCACGTCTCGGTATCAAGAAAGAGATTTCGGTGTAGGGTTGCCGAGGAAGCTGTTGGTGGGTTTGACATCACTCTTCATATCCATAACTGCAATGCTCATATCTTTCTGTGCTGGCCACTTCTTTGTCCTTAAAGACAAATTGAAATTTGCTGCATTTCCAGTATATTTAGTCACCTGCCTGCCAGTCATTTTTTTTGCTGCAGCCCAGTTTCCACTTTACTTTGATCTTATACGGGCTACCTCTAGAAAGGTACCACAACGTAGCTACAAGGCGGCTCCTCTTTAGTTTTGTTTTTCATTTCTTTAAGGGTTTTTTTTTTTTTCGATAAGTAATTGTTGAGGTTTCATTTCTTTCTAGTTGTTATGATTAATTATGTATCCCCCTCCCCCCCCCCTTTTTTTTTGGAACTTGGTTGATATTGATCTATGAATCTGTTTGAGAGCGTTTTCTCCTTTATTAATTTTTCATGATGTTTAACAGTGAAAACAAGTAGTCTCACTGAACTTCTTCTTTTTTGTTTATTTATTTATTTTTTGTATAGACGTAAGACAATTAGAAAGAGCTCCAACATGGTCTGGAGAATAAGGCCGTGGCCCAACATGAAAAAACATGGCAAAGACCCAACCCAACCCAAGAGTCCCACTGACTCAATGAACATTCTTTGTTGGCCTTTGGTGGGCTGTGTGGTTTTAGCCTTTTTGGTATTTGTCCTCTTACTAAGTAGGGCTAAAATCTGAAAACCTCCCTATTATTTACAAAAATTATCTACTAACCCCCTCAACTACATAAACTATCATATCACCCCTCCCTGTTAGTTGACCGTCTAAAATTAACGGATCTTATCACGTGACTATCACTTGCATACTATATTACATTATAATGACTAAAATACACTTATTCTATTTAGCTACAGGCTCCTCTCTTTCTCTCTCACACACACCCCAAACACATCTAAACATAAAGACCTCATTACAGCAGGAGCTCTAATCTTCTGTAATGCTTGCATCTATCAATAACCTATTAATCAGAATATCAGAACTCATATTTTACATCAAACAGAACACAACCCATATTGGATTTTCCTATTTACCACCACCGTCGTCCACTCACCGTCACCCCTTTCCATGCCGGCCGCAGGCCGAGATGAACGTTGGTGGCAATGAAGTCACTAAAGTTGACGACTTCGCCCCACAACCATCAACATAACGACGACAAATATATCAATTGATTGCGAAGCCATCGGTAGAGGTAGAGCCGTACCGGCACCGTTGTCGTGGTGGTGGTGCCATTGCTCATTGCCATTACCGCGTGGTTGCCGCTCGTTTTCTCCGGGACCACCACACCTCGCTTGCACCGTTTCACGCACTGGGAAGGAAGCCCTAATGGAGCCAATGAAGATGGGTAGGAAGAAGGCCTAATTCAGCGTTCGTCGGAACGTTATTCGGATAAACGTTCCACGGCGTAGGAAATATTCAACACCGTCTGAGGTTGAGGATACCAAAAACGGCTCGGGCCAGGTACAACCCACATGATGAACAATAGGCCTGATAATTGGCCTAGGTCTGAACCAGACTCTCAATAAGATAGGCCCGAAACTAAAGAAGCAGCGGGTGATCCACTAAATGTAATCAGGCCCGTAGCTCGAGAAGCCCAAGAGGAGGCCCAACACAGGGAGTTAGGTGGGAAACTTCTAAAAGGCGTGTAACAGTTTATAAATAGGTAGAAAATAGAGGGAAAAGGGGATCGAAAAATCTTTGAAGTGCATAGTTACTCTGTCAAAATTGAGAGAGGAATTTCTTGTATCTTCAATGACGTTGTCTGTGAGAACTAGAAAAAGATTGATTTGCGATAGGTCAAAAGTGATTTGATTATAGGTGATTCGTGAGGAAGAAGCTTGATCTCTAAAAAGTGAATCAGGATTGTGAGTGATTCGTTGTTCGTCTTGCCGAATTTCGATTCTGGTTGATTTTGAAGAGGTTCGCATTCGATCTATATAGTTCTGGTTTGTGCTTGTTCAATCGATCTATGCGATTGTGTTTTGTTTGCCAGAGCTAGATCTGACAAGTCCACGGTGGAAGAGATTCGGATCTGGTCTTGTAAGGTCAGAATTCGGTCAATTCAAGTCTAGATCTAGTGTGATTGCATTAGCGAAACTGAGATCTGTCTGGAAAATTGCGGTTGATGACTTTGTTCCGATCAGGAATGATGATCGGAGGTGAGAGCTCAAATCCATTGGATAATGGCTAGCAGTCCAAGCTTGATGAATTGATGAGTGTAATCGAAACACTAAGAAGAGAAAATGCAGAATTGCGAGCTGGAATGGAGCGTCGTGAGGCTCCTGCTCTTCTAAGGCCACCTCTAGTAGGAGAGGGAGTTGTGCTATCCAGTGCTGCTCATCACGATGATCCAGAGGGAAACAATCGAATGGATCTTCATCGCGAGGAGATTGTGCCAAACGATTTACCTCCAAATGTCCGTCAGGTGGAGGAGCGGGAAGGATCTATCCACTTGGATCCGCATCATGAACGGATCATGCGAGAAGAAGCCACCGCTTTTGATCCAACTGAAGGAAGGTTACGACATGATGAAGCAATAGAGTTTAGCCATCATGGAGCTCCATCGCCGTGGCATAGGGAAATCACAGATGACGGATTTCGTTTGATCTACCCTACCGGCCTTCAATGGCGACATATGATTACAGGAGTTCAGAAGGAAGATCTGCAGATCCGAGGATTCTACCACGGTTTTCAAGGGAGAATGAAGCACTTCGTTCCTCCGCAAGAACGGTTGCATCACCGTTCACTAACGAAATCCTGAACGCTCTGAATTTGAGGAAGTTCTCCATGTTGGTGTTCATTCTGTTCGATGGAATGACCGATCCGATCGATCACATTCAGTTGAAAATGGCTTTGAATACGAACAATGATCATTTGATGTGCAAATGCTTCCCTACAAGCTTGTCAGGGCCAGCCCTCAACTGGTTCAAGAATCTGACTCAAGGTTCAATCGCTAGCTTCCAAGACTTGTGTGGTAAGTTTATCAGCCAATACTATGGAAATAAACGCCAGGCTAAAGATGTGTCAAGCCTGTTTACAATGAAGCAGCACGAAGATGAACGACTCCAGGCTTTTTTCACCAGGTCTAACCTTGTCAAGAGTATGGTTATGGAGTGTTATCCATTAACAGTAGTTCAAGCGTTCAAGTTAGCAATGAACCGAGGGACACCATTCTACACAAGTCTGGTGGTGAATACGCTGAAGACCATGGATGAGCTGAATGAGAGAGCCGACGGTTTGGTGCGTCTGGAAGAAGAAGAAGCAGCTAATGCAAGAAAGACATCTATTATCTCCACAGAGGAGAAGTCCAAAGCCAAGATTCGGCAAAAGCAAGCTTCGCAACGTCAGACCTCCTGGAAGGCAGAGAAGAGGCCCTAAGAGGAGGAGTCGTTTACTCCACTCAAAGTCACTCTGGCAAGGTTATTCCAAGAAAACAAAGATAAGTTCCGTCCTCCCTTACCAATCAGACAACCTCTCGAGCAGAGAGATCAATCTAAACATTGTACTTTTCATAGTGATTTTGGTCACCAGACTAATGAATGCAGGAACTTACAGAGGCAAGTGGAGATGATGATTGCAAGGAGAGAATTTGCAGGATATGTTCAAGGGCCAGCGTAGGAGCAAAATAGACCAGCTGAGCAAGTTAAGAGAAATCAAAAGCCGAATCACCATAACGCTCAGCCCGTTTGGATTATAAATGCAATTCACAGCCAGAATATGAAGAATTGCTCTGAACGCGCCTTTGGCAAGCGCAGATGAAGAGGCGAATAGGCAGTGTCAATACTCTACACCATCAAAGCGCATCAACGCAGATAAGGTTTGATAAGACAGACCTGCTGTAAGTTCAAATTCCTCATGAAGACCCTTTGGTTATTAGTTTGACAGTGGCGGAGTGCTTAGTACGAAGGGTGCTAATTGATCTAGGGAGCAGTGCGAATGTCATGCCGAGGGTCACCTTCGATTGGCTAGAAATCAAGCCAGAGGCGCTTAAATGTACTGGGAATCCATTGTTAGGATTCGATGGAAAGCGAGTTGAACCGATCGGCACAGTAGAATTACTCGTTCGAGCTGCCGAGAGAGAACTTGTCGAAAGCTTTGTGGTAGTGGAGATCCATCCATCCTATAATCTGCTGATGGGGAGAGGGTGGATTTATAGAGTTCAAAGAGTTCTATCAACCCTGCACCAAGTGATGAGATGTCTGAGTCTGGATGGAAATAAAGTGATTGATATCCATGGGGACTAGGTTGCAGCAAAGGAATGTTACTCGGTGACTCTGAAAACTACAGGGAAAGAAAAAGCTCCCATCCGATCGAATAGCCCACAATAGCAATTACAGAAGCCTCCCCCCAGCACGAACGGGGAGGAGGAGACTCCGGTGTTGACCGAGGAACCTCTAGCTGACGTTCAAATTGATCATTTGAGGCCAGACCGAACCACAAAAATAGGTTCAGGGCTTGACGAGGAAGAGAAGCGCCAGTTGATTGATTTCCTTTCCCGGAACGCGGATGTGTTTGCTTAGAGCCATTCGGACATGCTGGGAATCGACCCATCTGTCTCTTGTCATTCATTTCGTGTAGATCCGAACGTTAAACCTGTACGACAGAGGCAAAGAAGGTTCGCTCCAGAACGCAACCAGATCATTGCGGATGAAGTTGATAGATTGTTAGAGGCTGGGTTCATCAGAGAGGTTCAGTACCCGATCTAGCTGTTGAACATGATTGTAGTGCAAAAGATGTAATACCCCGTAATTAATTAAAGAGTTTAGTGTATTTAAATTCAATTATGTGTGGATTCCTGTACCTATTATTGTGCATGCTTCATTGTTATATTAAGTTCATTTAATGGTGCATGTAAATTAATTGTGTATGTTAAAATAGTAAATTTATGTATTTAATTGTGCATGTATTATTATTTGTTTATTTTGTTTAATTAAGCAATATTAGTTAATTAGAATATTATATTTGTGTTATAAAGTATTATGATGATATAATATATTATTTTGTAATAACAATAATAATAATTATATTAGTTTAATAATAATAATAATAATATAATAATAATAATAATAATAAAAGTTTATTAATAATAATATTAGTAATAATAATAATAATAGTTATAATAAATCAATGTAATGATGGAAAATTAAATACTAGGATAGAATTTCATTTAGTATGGTAGAATGGTGGATCAAATATCTTGATTAAAGATAGCATTGTCTTAAAGCCATATAGGTAGGAATATGAGAAATGGGTGAGAAGTTATTA